CCTACAATGTTTAGTCAATTAATGAGGATTAGTTTGGTTGCCTAACTAGGTTGGTTGCCTAACTTGGTTGGTTGCCTAACTTGGGGGGCTTGACTAATGTCTTAGGAACTTGTATATATATGTGTTGATTGTAAGTAATGAAACATAAGTGAAAATCAGAAAATATTCTACAACTCTCATTCTCTCTACACTTTCCACTCTCTACTCTCAATATTCTCTATGTTTTAGCACAATTGATGTTTCAGTTTTAGTATGAATTTAATTCCCCTTAATTCACACAACTCTATTCTTGTTTTCTACAAAATCCAGTAATTCTTAAACATTTGGAAAGCATTCAGGGCAGGGGAGACATACATGCATAAGCTGCCTAGACTGTTATGCGGAAGCGTCAACCAATTGCGAGTGAAAATAACCACAATTGGCAAGAGATAAAATAATAAACACAAAACAACACCAACAAGAACACCAAGATTTATACTGGTTCGGCAATGCCTACATCCAGTTTGGAGACGACGGAATATTCCACTATAATCAATGAGAATATACAATACTGTTTATCACTCAATTTCCCAAAGACCCAAATAACCCAAGCTCACACACTTACAATAGGAAGAGAAAACCAAAAATACAAAGCAAAGAACAATATGAGAATTTTCTTCTCTGTCGAATGGCTTCTTGCTATTTTCCCTCTCCCTCACTTCAGTGTAGCTCTATCTTTACAGCTGCTGCCATGCATCCAATTTATAGCCAATGAAGTTGGCTCTTCAAGGAAACCAACGACCAAGAGACCTCCAAGGTAAGCCATGCTAGCTTGTCTCCCACATGCTCCCATTCTGCCAAGGATGCAAAGCTGCTGCCAAAAGCTGATTATTCTTCTGCAAAGTTGATTATTCTTCTGCAGCTATCCAATTAAGGCTTCCCATTTCACTTTGTCTGCCAATGCCATTCAGCCAGCTACTATATTCTACTTTTGACTGAAAGCAACATTGCTTTTGAGCCAATAATCAACATAGACAGAGTGTTGGAGTTCATACTAGCTAGGAGGAGAAGGAGGACGGTAGACAGATTTAGTGATCATCCAGAGGGAGTTGCTCATTACATTCTTTAAATTCCTTATATAACATACCTCACTCGTTTTGGCAGTGTCTCCAAAAGATGTAGACAACTTTATCTGTCAAGCCCGTCATTGAATTTTGATAAATTTCCCTACTGGCCTGCATCCCAGTGCGATAACCAGTTAAGGTTGTTGCGTTCTCTGGATATAGGTTCTTGATCCTTTGTGGGGATAATAAGATACTACACTTTCGTCTTAAACAATGCCTCAGTGAATTCTCTCATCAAAGGACATGCTTTTGTGATGCTGTGAGATTTCAAATCATCAGTGGATCAAGAACGCAGTAAGGTGCAAGGTTGAAGTTCTTGATCTTGATATCTTCATATCTGACAACTTGAGACCATTTGCATTTCCAATTTATCAATAAACCCTGAGGTTTCCTTATATTTTCCTGGTAGATTCTAAAGTTACATGTTTTACGTTGCGTCAGAAAGGCTATGGCTAACATGATTAAAAATTGGAGGGAGCTCGAGCAGGACATGGTTTCGTCTTGTTAAACTTGGATTAGGGTTGAGATATCAAGGCGCAAGATAAAGATTCAATTCAACAGTGGAGCCAAGCTGCAACTCTCCAACACATTCCGAACTATCCTCGTGTTGTATTAATAATTTGTAAAAATTAATGTGCTAATCATCCAATTAAAATACCCTCAAGTATATGAATATATTGAAGTATAGATTTGTAAATAGGGGATCGTTCACACAAGGAATTGGAGGCTTATATTAAGGTCTAGTTTGAGTACGTGTAGAACACTTAGTTAACACAATCACATAGGTAAGATACAAATCGAATGCTAGAAATGAGTAAAGAAAAGTAAACGAAATGAAACAAAACAAAAACCAAAGATAAACACAATCAGCATTTTGTATCACTCCTGTATCGCCACTCTATCACCACGGTATCACCAGTTTATCACGTTTAATTACTTTAATTAGTAGTTATATTTTAATTATTATTTACTTAGTGAATAATTAATATTTAAATTTAAATATTTAAATATATTTTATTTTTATTTAATAATATGTGAGTATTTTGTGTATAATCCTGAACTTTTTTTTTGTGTATTATTGAAAATTTTGTAAAATACACGTGTATTAAACAAGAAAATTATGTATGTTCGTGTACAATACATGTATTATACATTTGCTTTTTAAAAAACTTGCATTTTACTGAGTCTTTAAGACATATACGAAAAATAGAAGCAATATTGAAAAATATGTATGTACATGTATAATACAAGTACTAAAAGGGAAATTGCTAAATTTTTTATACGGGTAATAACTGTGGAAAAATAAGAAATAAAAAATGGAAAATAGAGATTCAGGCAATGACCTAATAGTAATGGATAATGCTCTAAACTACTCTTATCGATGAACGAAAATCGGGGAAAAATAATTATATAAAAAAAAAAAGGATTGGAATAGATATTTAAAGAGTATTGCCGCGCAACTATACTATTTATTACAAAAATTAAAAGGACACCAATATGACAAATGGGTATAGCCGTGCGGCTATACTGTTTAAATATGACAAATGGAAAATATCGCCGTCTATACTATTTAAATTTTTTTGAAAGGAGGCGTGTTTTTTTTTTTTTCTGAAAAGAGTATAGCCGCGCGGCAGTACTATTTATGAAAAAAAAGGAACATATAAAATAGTATAGCCGTGCGGCCATACTCTGTGAATAGATTATTTCAAACGTATAGCCGATCGGCTATATTATGTACAAATTAGAAAGGACTGGTTTTTTAAAAGCGTATAGCCGCGCGGCGATACTATATAAATAGAATTTCTTTAAAAGTATAGCCGCCCGGCTATACCTGTTAAATAGCACAGACTGAATTTCTCTTTTTTAATTACTTTAATTAGTAGTTATATTTTAATTATTATTTACTTAATGAATAATTAGTATTTAAATATATTTTATTTTTATTCAATAATATGTGAGTATTTTGTGTATAATCTTGAATTTTTTTTGTGTATTATTGTAATTTTTGTAAAAAACACGTGTATTAAACAAGAAAATTACATATGTCTGTGTACAATACGTTTGCTTTTAAAAAAAAACTTGCATTTTACTGAGTCTTTAAAACGTATACAGAAAACGGAAGTAATATTGAAAAATATGTATATATGTGTATACAACATCAAGAAATGATCGAAAATTTTGTCTGCTAATTAACTTATGTTTTCGTAAGATATTAACTTTGTTGCAAGGATATGGTGAAATGAAGGACCACATGTTGACAAATAAATACGAGCACTGCAAGCAGTGACAGTCGACATACAAATTCACACTTTTCATTTTCGTTTTGGGATTTACATGGGAAGTGTTTTGGGCCGACACGTTTATGTGGGATTTTAGGATTCTCTACTAGAAAATTGGTTCAAAATCTTGCGCTGCAAAAAAGTGTAGGAACAAACATTTACATTAATATGAAGATAAATATTGCTTATCCATTTTGTGTGGCCCAAAAGAGTGCAACAAACAAACTAGTCTCAAACATTAGCCAATCTTTTTCATTTGTTGGGATTTGGGAAGGTGATGTGTCCTGAATTCTTCTTTGAATGGGCACTGTGATGCATTGCTATGCAGGCTCATCATACAGACCCCAACTCCAACTGAGCCTGAGATTTCCCAGTTTTGGCATCATATGTTCATCTGAGGTTAGTGTATCAAGGCAACAAGTTTTGAAGCAAGTGGATAAGGAGTTGGATAAGGGAGATGAGAGAGCAGCGCTCTCACTTGTTAAAGATGTGCAAGGCAAGCCTGGTGGCCTCAGGTGCTTTGGTGCTGCTAGGCAGGTTTTGCCAAACTCTGGCTCTTTTTTTTTTTGTGTTCTTTTTCTTTTAGGACACCTTTTTGGCTTTTCCCCAATAATTTTTTTAGCAGCAACATGATATATCAAGGTCTGGATTTACTTAATTTACTGAAATGGATTCATTGTGCAGTTACCCCAAAGGCTCTACAGCTTGGATGAGCTAAAGCTGAATGGGATAGAAGCGTCGTCTCTTCTGTCCCCAGTAGATACTACTCTGGGTTCCATAGAAAGAAACCTTCAGCTTGCTGCTGTGCTAGGAGGTGTTTCTGCATGGAATGTGTTTGGGTTTAGTGCACAACAGATTTTCTATATTTCTTTAGGATTGTTGTTTCTGTGGACTCTCGACGCGGTAATTTCCTTATGCTTGTCTAAGAACATGTCTTGATAATCCATATCATTGAAAGCCTTGAGCTGTTGTTGGAAGCAATCACAACAATCCTAAAGATTGTAAGCTGTACATCAAGTGATATTGAATATTTACCATAAAGAGAATCCGCTGAAGTGCTTCTCTTGTTTGAAGTCATTTCTAGCCCCTCTCGACATTTCAACTTTTGCTCAATTACAATTTCCATTCTTTAATTACTTCAGCAAACAAGAACTCCTAATGCTTTTAATGCCTTATTATTTCACTACTTTCTCATAGGTATCTTTCAATGGAGGAGTTAGTAGCTTGGTTATTGATACAATTGGTCACACCTTTAGTCAGAAGTACCACAACAGGGTCATTCAAGTAAGATCTCTCCCTCCCCCTGTCCCTCCATCCCTCATCTTCTTATATGCTCTTTCTGCCGATGGTTCTGAAACCTTTGGATATTTTTTTTTGTGAGGATATCCTCATGAAGTATTCATCTAAAAGAGAAACTATTTATGCAGCATGAAGCTGGCCATTTCTTAATTGCATACTTGGTTGGCGTCCTTCCTAAGGGATATACACTATCCAGTTTGGAAGCTTTGAAGAAGGAAGGATCTCTCAATGTTCAAGCAGGGACTGCTTTTGTGGATTTTGAATTTGTTGAAGAGGTATGCTGCCATTGTCTATGTAAAGCTTCATCGATGCTGCTCAACGTTGATCATATCTTCTAATTCTGTATTTTGATTATTATCCTTGATTTATAGCAGTTCCCATTTCACGCAGGTCAATGCAGGGAAATTATCAGCTACCGTATGTTTCTACCCTTCACCACTAAAATTTCTCCTTCCTTTTGAAATGAGAAACTTTCATGAATTGGGAATGCATCTTATTAGACGCTGAACAGATTTGCATGCGTAGCGCTAGCCGGCGTTGCTGCTGAGTATATTTTATACGGCTATGCTGAGGGTGGTCTTGCAGATATTAACCAGGTTTCACTTGATTATGTTCCTTTTTTTTGGGGTCAAATTTGATTCTGTTGTTCCTGCAAGCAAGACAGACATAATGGAACAAGTTACTAACTGGATTGTGCTTGCTCTTAAAACAGCTGGATTCATTGTACAGAAGCTTAGGCTTCACACAGAAGAAAACAGATTCTCAAGTCAGATGGTCTGTCTTAAACACTGTCCTAATCTTGCGCCGTCACGAAGTAGTGCGAGCTAAGCTTGCAGAGGCCATGTCAGAAGGAAAATCTGTAGGATCTTGCATTGATGTCATAGAGGACACCATTGGCAATGCAGACATCTAAGCTAATGGTTCTGAAAAACTCATCAAGCTTTGATGACATTTTTCTTTTTCTTTCATTTATCTGGGATGTAAAGTATAACAGATTTGAATTTCTATATCTGTAAGGAATTTGCAATGGAGTATGGAGATGATAGTCAATTTAGATGAATTCAAAGATTTTGATTCAAAATAGCTTTTGGATTATATATATGCACGCTTCCAATTCTGACCAACTTTTGTGACTTCGTAGAACCAAAATATTTTTTCCTTTTTGGTGGAAAATCTTCATGACACATTTTGTTATGGGCATAAAATGTTTTACGAAAACATTACCATATGGGCCCTAAGTAAGTAAAGATTTTTTTTGTTTAGTTTTAATTAATGTACCTTCTTTTTTCTTTGTGAACGAAAAAACATTATTTAAGCCGCAGAGAATTTCAAAGTGTGAAAGCCCACATCAAAACGAAAACGAAAACGAAAAACAGAAAGGGCCTCATCTGTAGTCTCCCTCCCCACTAAAACAAAACCAAGAAGTCATCGACCAAGTCTGCAACTGCAAGTCAGAAGAGTCGTCAGAATTGAAAAGTGAGAATGGAGGTACAGTGGATTCTGTTGTGCCATGGCTTAGTGACACTGCTTGTTCTAGTCTCCTTCCTCTGTGGCCAATGGCCCATCTTCGAAGGCACGCCCATCCAACGCATCCACCACTTTCTCACCTTCGGCGCCTACGATTACTTTCAGTTCAGTAATCAGTACCTCTCTCTCTCTCTCTCTGTCTCTCTGTCTTCCAATCACTTATATTTCTATTGGTTTTAGTTTTATTGAGATTCAATTTACTGTTATTTTGCAGACGATTTGTTGGGTTTATTTTTGGGGCCAAGGGAACTAATGCCATTTCCTCCGTGGAGTATTTCTGCTGTGACCGACCCAATCCAATTTTGCAGGTTTCGTTTTTTTTCTTTCCCCGAAATAGAATTGTCTAAATTTTTGTGATTGTAATTGAGAGATAAGGGGTTCCGGTTAGTTGACTTTGTTCATGAAGTTGCAATTTTTCTTTGGGTGCTTTATTGGGAATTGAATTGTGGCTTCATTATGGTCTCATTCACGTTTTTGGTGTTGCTGCTTCTGGTTAAACTCAGTTTTATTAGATAACCCAGTAAAAGGTTTTGTCTTTCACGTTATATGCATTTTGGTAAATCTGTGGTTATCTTCTTGCTTAGAGTAAGCAGAACATGATAAATCTTAACGGAGCCAAAGTGAGGAAAATGTGGTAAAAACAGACTATTGAGGATTTGGTGCTCCAAGTTACAATATTTCCAGCTATATGAATGTGCTTAAAAGTTGGTAAATTTGAAAGAATCATTAGGAAGTGCTTAAAAGTTGGTAAATTTGACAGAATCATTAGGAAGTGCTTAAAAGTTGGTAAATTGTGGCTGCAATAGAAGAAAAAGACTAGTCAAATATGAGTGCCTTCGATATTTCCACCTACTGATGTGGACAACTAGGAATTATTTTTCTCTTTCTCTTTGATTCAGGATTAATTGTTAGTTTTCTGTTTGTGCAGTTAATATATCTTGCAATTGTAGGAGGAACGTATTTCTTAGTTGCAAATTCTTCCTTCGGTTACATTCCTGGCTATTATATAGGTGAAATTCACAGGTATGTGTCAAGGATTCTGTTTTCATAAAATTTTCCATTTTTTAGTACTGAATCCTCTACGCATTCTCTTCTCTGTTCTTTCAGGTATACAAGCTTGTTGGCTGTTGGCGTTGGTGTTCTGCTCTTTCTATTAACTAGCTTTTCTGATCCAGGAACAGTGAAGGCTGATAATGTTTCCCAGTATCTCTCTGCTTATCCCTATGACAATATTATATACTCTGAGAAAGAATGTTCAACATGCAAAATTCCAAAGTGAGTCCTGCTTTATTGATTTCTTTCCAACGTTTTCTTTCTGTTGTCTTTTCTTTTTATGAAAAAGATTTATGCTGTTTTGTTTTGTTCCTTCCTTTCCTTTTCTTACTTTCTCCTTTACATGGTCCTTCTTCCTCTGTGGTTTAGACCTGCCAGGTCTAAGCATTGCAGCATATGTGATCGCTGTGTTGCCCGCTTTGACCATCATTGTGGATGGATGGTCTGAAATTCTCTAACTATTCTTCTTCTTTCCCATCCCCTCCCTCATATATAGGACATTTTATGTGGTGCTGATTGTGAATTTAACAACATGGTTTTGATTGCAGAATAATTGCATAGGTGAGAGAAACACCCAGTACTTCATGGCGTTTCTTTTGTGGTGAGTTCTATCTGATGCAACAACAGTTTGTGTTTATGTCTTTTGTGTGACCCTTTGTTTTCTCCACTGCCTATGCTTCCCAAATAATTGACTGTACATGTTGATGGGTATGATGGGTAGAAAATTGGTTTTTTCGCGGATTGATAATGAAAGGTTATCATCTGCATTCTCTTTTTGAAACTTAACCATCCAATGTTTGCATATGAAGTTAGTGCGAAGAAAAGTAGGAAAAAGTTTAGATCTTCTGGTCTATGAGGTTTTGAAATTGTTTATGGCATTTACTGTTACACTCTTGAAATTCATAACAGATTACACCGGAGAATAAGCATTAGGGTTTAGGCCTAAAATTTGCACGAATGTTTCAATTACAAATGATGAATAAGCATTCTATGGTCTTAATGTTTGCACGAATGTGTCAATTCCAGACTTATGAATAAGCATTTTTTATCTTATTTTCTGTTTTACTTAATTGCTCTGTCAATTTGAACTTTATTTTATCTGTGAGGTAATATACTACACTTTTTGTTTGTCTATTTGTTATCATTTCTTTAGTGCTTTTTCAGGCACACCTTACTTTGCATATATGGAACAGTGGCCATTGGGTTAATTATTGCTGGGCAAATTAAAGAATTTAAAGTTATTGATATCCTAACTGGTAAATTAAGTTTCATTCCATCCTCCTACTTGATGATTGTGCTTCATTTGAACCTAAATAACGTTCCTTTCCCTAATTTCTTCATTGCAGTTTATTATGGTATAGAAAATTCTTTTCGCAGTTTATCACCGCATGTTGTGCAGGTAAGTTGATTTATTTTGTTTCAGCAATGTAGAAGAGTAACAGCTTCCAAAAATATTTTTGCTGAGCCTGGTTGGAGTTCACCATTTATTTACTTTCCATGATGTCTCCAAGTATGAAGCATAGCTTAGAAATGTGTATAAATAAGCACAGTCTGAACTCTTCCATGATAATAATTTGCTTTCATTAAATCTTGAGCTGGAAATTTCAAGGGTTATAGGGTTCAATTTTTTTATTTATATGGTGTGTGGTTTTGGTACTTTTTGCATGGTTGTATATTTCTCTACTCATTTATTTTTTGTTTCCTTTTTTCATGCTGCTCATTGCTTTATTATTTCCTGATGCATTACAGTGGTTGTTGGGGGCCTACAACACTCAAATACTTCTTATGGTGTTTCTGGCAATAGTTTCACTGTCATTGGCGGGTTTCTTTGGTTACCATGCAAAACTTTGTCTCACAAATACTACGACAAATGAGGTCTCTCTCTCTCTCTCTCTGTGACTTTGTTGAATAGGTTATGTCTTGATATAAAGTTCCAAAGAGGGCAGGATAGAGGAGGTAATAATGATGCGGGGCAGGGATAGTTCATTAGGCTCCATCACTCCCTCAGGAAAAGAAATCTTAACATAACAGTGGCTTCTGTCATTACTGAAACATTGGAACTTAGCGTGTGCATTTCTTTTGAAACAGACTTTCAAGTGGCAAGAGTATGTAAGCTGGCAGAGGAAGCTAAATGAAGCAAGGGCGAGTTCTGCAGCACTAAAAGCAAGTATCAATGGGATGAGTAGTGAAAGAAAACCTCCAGAGAACAAATGGAGAGCCATGTTCCGTAGATCCCCACTTAAAGATGTTGAGGTTGTGGTTAAGAATAACATATATGACAAAGGATTCTTTCAGAATTTTCTTGAGATCATCATGCCCCTCTCAAGAAGACAGTTGTCTCTGCGAACCAAATCGAAGTCTGGCTGAGACAGATTGCCAGCCCTTCAACCTTGTATGCTTTGCTTCTTGTTGTTTCTTCCAGCAATCGAACGGCTTCATAGCCCGTTCTCGCAAAATTTCTCTTGCTTGAACAGCGGGCGACACCAAGAGAGGGATCTGGCAAAGATCAGATGCTTGTTCTGGCTTTGTGTATCATTATTGCAAGTCATCTATGCCTACAGGATATGGCCGACTGCTTGTGATTGGTGGTTCATTCAAGGACATGTAGTATAATGAAGTAGCCACAATCACAATAGACATTCAATTTGTTATGTTAGCAATTAGCATAGGGGATTTTTCTTGTAAAGCTGGCTCTTTTTCCTTTCAATTTCTGTAATATGGTATCTTTACTCATTGGAAGAAGAATGATATAAATTGTTAATCTTTCTATTCTTTCTGACTAAAGAAATGAACTGTATTTGATATTTGGGTCTCCCACTTCCATGGTTGCTGCTAGTAGTGGCAGACCTATTAAGGCGCAAGGAGGTGCAGCAGCTGCACCTCCCCTCGGCGGAAAAAACATTGTAGGTGCCTAATTTTCATTTTCAACATTTAAATAAATGTCCATTTACTTAAGTTTACAATGTAAATAAGGAAGTACCCCCCATTTGGATTCAAATAAAAATACTAGAAAATCAAATTCTCACCAAATCAAAATATGAAAAATCGGTTTTAGTGCAAAATATGATTTAAGCTAAAATTAATGGCTATATACTTCATACTAAAATCCCATAAAATCAAGTTTTCTTATTTGATGTGTAAGGAATAAAAGCCGCCAAAAATTATCTTGAGGAAATGATTATTCCGAAAAACAATTTTTCATACTTAGTCAATATTGCACCTCCGCTAAAAAAATTCTGCATCCGCCAGTGGCTGCTAGGTAGAGAAGAGCTTGCTTGCAGCAGCCTATAAATGGGCGGGAATGAAAAATCAAGAAAGTAAAGGGGCTATTAAAAAATAACCCAAAAAGCTGTTAAAAGACCAAAACACCCACATATTACGTCGTCGTATAATCACATGACCTTGCATTGTATAGCTCAGAGCCAATTGCTTCATCTCATGATTGATTCTCGTCGATTAATTTGAGTCTGGGGCGCCAAGAACGGAGGTAAGGCTCTATTTGGATGATTACGATTTTTGTTTTTGAAATTTCGGAACTTTCTCAGTTTTCTTTGAGATTCCATTTGATTGAATTTGGGAAATTTCACTTTGTGTAGAAGTTAGGTAGGGTTTCTACGATGATATACACGGCGATAGACACGTTCTATCTGACCGATGAGCAGTTGCAGAACTCGCCGTCGAGAAAGGACGGCATAGATGAGGCCACGGAGACCACGCTCAGAATCTATGGCTGTGATTTAATCCAAGAAAGCGGAATTTTGCTCAGATTGTATGGTTTCAGTTCTGGTTTGTTTTAATTTGTAAAATTTGTTGTTGTTCTTTTCTTTGAGGGTGAATTTGGTTAACTTTGTTTTGCTTCATTTGATCACTTGCAGACCTCAAGCTGTTATGGCCACTGGTCAGGTTCTGTTTCACCGATTCTATTGTAAGAAGTCCTTTGCACGCTTCAACGTCAAGGTATTTTTGCTACATATATAATTATTTTCTGAGCCATTTGTTTGGATGCTGATAAAGGCAAATGACAATTCTTTAATTTGTAGACTGATTGTGGTTTTCTCTTTGGGCTGTGAAAGATGAGTACTTGTATCTTCAATTAGTCCAAATAGTTGTTTAGCAGACGTTCTTTCTAAAACCATGGTCCGAAGTCGAGAGAAATGAATGATTTCTTTTAAATTTTTGCCTTGTAATGTCACAACTTCTGCATTAATAATGTGATGCTTTCTTGTAGAAAGTTGCTGCTAGCTGTTTGTGGCTTGCATCAAAACTGGAGGAATGCCCTAAAAAAGCCAGGCAGGTTATCATTGTTTTTCACAGGATGGAATGTAGGAGGGAGAACCTACCCATTGAGCCGTTGGACCCATATTCAAAGGTTAGAGCTCATATAATTCACATCGTACTAAAGTCATTGTCTTCCATTATCATGATTTCGACCCAAATGCATGCTGCTATGGTTTATCTTTGTCTTCTTTCTTTCCAGAAATATTCGGACTTGAAGATGGAGTTGAGTAAAGCAGAAAGACATATTTTAAAGGAGATGGGTTTCATTTGTCATGTTGAGCATCCTCATAAGTTTATATCAAATTATCTTGCCACTCTGGAGACACCACCAGAATTAACACAGGAAGCCTGGAATCTAGCAAATGACAGGTACTTCTCCCAACATATTCCAATTCCTTATTTACTTTCTTGGTACTTGGTTTTTCCATTTGACTTTGAAACTTTTGAACTTTACGTTGTTTAATTATTTGGAATCTTCTGTTTTACTGGATTATGTGTCTTTGTTGTCCTTATTGGTGTAGTTCATTTGAAAAAATTATATTCAATGTACTATTTTGTTGGTTTAGTTCTCACTAACGTTTTAACTGCAGTTTGCGGACAACATTGTGTGTGCGATTCAAGAGTGAGGTTGTTGCTTGTGGTGTAGTTTATGCTGCTGCTCGGAGGTTTCAAGTGCCCCTTCCTGAGAATCCGCCATGGTGGAAGGCATTTGATGCTGAGAAATCAGGGATTGATGAAGTTTGTAGGGTGCTGGCTCATCTGTACAGCCTTCCTAAAGCAAAGTACGTACCAGTCTGTAAGGATGGAGATTCTTTTACATTTTCTAACAAGTCATGGAATTCACAGTCTCAGCCAAATCCAAAGGTAGTTCCGATTCTTTTTTCATTTTTCTCTCTCTCTCTCTCTCTCTCTCTCTCTAATTCCTGCTCCTCCCCCTTCTCACTTAAGATTTATTCAGAGCTGGGGGCTCTACGATATTCTCTCTTATCCACTGCAGTTGCCCACTTGTCAGCATATTGCTGCACTGCTGGCTGTGAGCAAGGATGCCAACTGCAGGCTGATGAGAATCTGCTCTGTATTGCATCATACCGAAATTACATTAATAATGTGGAGTTTTTTTAAATTTTTTTATTGCTGTTTCATAGGAAGTTCCTACGAAGAGCCCATCAGCTATTGACAATACCTCTAATATAAAGGCTGCAGCAGAAGTCAATCCAGAATCTGGTGGATCAAAGGGTGTGTTGGCCAAGCTAGCCACTGACAAGCTGAAGGACTCTAAAGAGAGTGATGAAAGTGTGCCTATTGAGGGAGAGGCAAGAGAAGATTTCAGTATGAAATCCAAGTCTGAACGCAGAACAGAATCTAGTGGTGATAAAAGCAAGGACAGGGAGAGGGACAGGGAGAGGGAGAGAGACAGAGACAGAGACAGGGACAGGGATAGGGATAGAATGAAGGTCCGGGATCGTGATAGGGGCAGGGATTCTGACCGTGAACGAGATCGAGAGGAGTCTGAGAGGGACAGAACCAAGGACCGAGGTTATCGTTCCAAGGATAGAGCAAAAGATTCAGGTTGGTTATGGGTTTTATTCCCCCCCACCACATTGTTAAAATTGGATTTATGAACTTGCGTCATTTCAAATTTTATCGTCTCCGAAATTCTTTAACTTGAATTTCTATGTTGAATGCACAATATTAATGCAGGGGGGCATTTGGAGAAATCAAGACATCACTCGTCACGAGGTATGCTTATTCAAATTGTGTTGTGTCAGTTTGATTTGAACCCCATCATCTGACAATTACCCTTATTTTGCAGATCGTGACTATCACAATTCCGCCTATTCTTCGCGGGACAAGGATCGCCATAGACATCATTCTTACGCTTGAACTGATCATCAAGTTCAAGACATCTCTCTTTTTCTCCTAAACTTCATCTGAACTGAAAATACTTTGTGCTTTGTATGTTGAGAGAAAACTGTATGTTGACAGAAAATGTAAAAGTGAGCAATTGAGACTATTTATGGTTATGGATATGCATGATTCTTCTAACTCGTGAGGTATTTTTAATATATTATAGAAACTTGTCTGTGTAGGAAATCCTAACAATATAGGAAAGAAGTCCTAATTACAATAGGAACTATTAAAAAAGGAAAGTAAATACAACTTTGAATATAAAAATGGAAACTAAAATTACCTGATCCGAGAGGGAAAGATCTCTATATAAACCTCACAACTCAATTGGTTAACCCCATAACTTGCAAAGCTTTCTTTTTGAGATTCTTGAAACTTCAAATTAATAGCTCTCACAGTTTTTCTTGTTAAATTTTAATTAAGCCTTGTGCATTAATTGCCTTCTCTTCAATTTCCCACCCATGGAGAAAACAAAATCATCCCTTCATTCTCCCACTAATGGAGGTCTCACTACCATTCTTAGTATTGATGGAGGTGGAATAAGAGGGATTATCGAAGGAGTTTCACTCGAGTTCCTAGAGTCTGAGCTTCAGGTAAAAAGATCAAAACTAGAACTCTATTTTGAGCAATATATTTCATTCTCATAGAATGTTATAGGAACTTCTAAGAACTTGTAGGATATAATATAATGTGGCATCACTCTTTATTACACGACTGCCACTAAGTGTGAATATATATATATATATATTGCAGGTAATTTCTTAGTAGTCCCTTTCATCGAATATGCACATATATATAGCAGTAAAGTCTGCATTATAGGATAAGATCCTTAATTTGTTAATGTCTCTGCCAACATGTTCATCACTCAGTAATTTTCAAACATTTAGGCTCCATTGCCTCGGGGCATTGGCGCAGAAACCCTAGCTTATTGATGGTTGCTCAACTTTAACCACATGGAAGATAAATAACGGCGATCAAATTCAACCATGTATATGCCACAGTGATATCTTACACCAAATATTATCTGAAACCTACTGTAATAATGTTATGAGGGGTTTTGTAACACAAGCTTCATATATTATATATTATAAATAAATAAATACTCGTATTATAATACACGTCATCACATGGTGTTGTTATACCTAGCTAGCATGTTTGCTCTACTACTCACAATTTGATGCTGGTGTGTTTCTCTCTTTTTTTCTTTTTTGGTAATCTAATAAGTCTAATTTTTTGCTTTACTTGGTGGCTATATGCAGAGGCTTGATGGTAAGCATGTAAGGCTCGTAGATTATTTTGATTGGGTTGCAGGGACGAGCACAGGTGGCCTTGTGACGCTCATGCTTGCTACCCCAGATGAAAATAACCGTCCCTTGTTTGCTGCAAAAGATATCCTCCCTTTTTATATCAAACATTGCCCTAAAATCTTCCACCAACCTAGGTTTGTACAGTTAATTGTTGACAAAGAGACCACACTTTCGTATGCATAACGAGTAACGATAACTAATTTTGATTCCTTGTACAACAGATCTCTCATCGGCAAAATCAAACATTGTTTGAAAGGTTTAGTAAGACCCAAATATAATGGGAAGTATTTCCACAAATTGGTGAAGGAAAAACTAGGCGATAAGCATTTGCACGACACGTTGACTAATGTTGTAATCCCAACGGTTGATATAAAACCGCCACGTCCAGTTATTTTCTCCAGCTATGAGGTTTGTTTATTAATTATCTCCTAATTCGAACACATATGTGTATATAATTTAATTCTTTGTTCTGCTTAATTATTATTATTTTTGGTTGTAAATAAATAATTCTTGATTTTGTATATTTATGTTGGTGATGATTTTAGTTGAAAAGGCACCCAAGCCTAGATGCTTTGCTTTCGGATATATGCATTGGAACTTCAGCAGCCCCACCCTACCTTCCGGCCCATCAATTTAGTTCCGCAACTTCAACAAGCAAGTCAAGAGAATTCAATCTCATTGATGGTGGAGTTGCTGCCAATAACCCGGTAAATATTGATGTGCCCCAAATTTCAAAAACTTATTAATTTGCATAATCTGAATAATTCATATATAATATGAACATTATTTATTCGGTAGGCTTCAATTGCTATAAAGGAAGCGGAAAAAGAAATCCTCAGGAAGAACCCTGGGTGTGGAAATGAAGAGTTGCATAAGCGGATTTTACTAATATCACTAGGGACTGGTATAGCAAATGATGAGGAGGAGTACGACGCCAAAGAAGTAGCTCGTTGGGGTGCTTTCCAGTGGCTCATCGGACCCCATTGGTCGTCTCCAGTGGTGCATATGTGTATCAAAGTAACTGGTGGCATTCTTGATTACCACACTCAATGTGTTTTAGAACATGTTCAGTCTCACGGCCATTACCTCCGAATTCAGGACGATACACTAAGCGGAAGTTTGGCTTCTGTGGATATTGCCACCAAAAAAAACTTGAATGATCTTGTGAAAGTTGGAGAGGCATTGTTGAAGAAACCGGTTTCCAGATTGGATTCCGATACCAGTGAAACCGAGCCTCTTCCTCTTGAGACAAATGCAGAGGCTCTCGTGAGGTGCGTATAATCTGCTCTTTTATTTTGATTAAGTTGTGGCTTGATGCATGTAAATTCAATAAATTAATGGGATACTACTCATTATAACTTTTGCTTTTGTCAATTAATTTGCTTTGATAATGCAGGATGGCGAAAATTCTCTCTGAGGAGAGGGCTCGGAGGATTCAGGAAGGATATCATCCTCAGAGAATTCAGGAAGGACACCATCACAAAAATAATAGGTTGCTGCTCTCACATAACCCCTTTGGGAAATTTTTCAGTAAGTATTTTATGTCAAGGATTTGTTACATACTTTTAATCTTGGCCATTGGATTGCATTCATTAAAAGTGTTGTGATCTCTTAGATGCAATCCAACGGCTGAGATTAAAAAATATGTAACTAATCCTTAACTTAAATACTTATTGGAGAATGCCCATAAGTCCTTGTAGCTATGTTTTCCTTAAGAAAATTAAATAGCTCAAATTTTTTTTTCTTTCATGTAATTCAGTTCAGTTCTGAAATTATTTTCTCCCAATGTGTATAGATATATGTAACTGGGAAATTATTCAATTTCTTCATGACGTGGCCAATGATAGCAGCTTTGACTTGAGTTGTTTAAGTCTTCTTCATTATGTTGTTGGAGTTTGTGTGTGGTTTCGTATATGGAGGGACTGTATAGTAATACGATTTTAAAATAGCACTGATAAAGCACTATGAAATTAAAAAACAAAAAGCACTTTAAAATTAATCCTTAGTAATAATGAACAGATTCTTGAGATTGAACTAGTGCTTCTGCTTCTTGTCCTAGTGGAAACCATAAGCATCAACTAATTAATCACTACTTGCTAATCCAAAGAAGAAAGGACCTATGATGTAGATGGTTGGCCTGCATGGAAGGTGAGTGGCTTCATGTCCATGGAACGCATGTAACTTAAAAACTGGCCAGGCAGCTCTTCCAAAAGACCTTGAACAACAGAAATCTGCCCACCTGTTACATTAATCCCAATTAATTTACCAGCTTAAAAGCAAAGAGAGGACTCCAAAAGAAAGAAATTACCATCACCATCTAAAGTTAATATGAATGTGTTTAGACAGAAAAAAAAAAATATGGAGGTAATGGGTACTTACTATGCACTTCTCTCATCGCAACAAACTGTACAATGTCTCGTGTAGCTATACGACCTGTAGAACTCTCTAATCGTGGTCCACTGTCAGCATCGAGGATCTGCCGGATACAAAATTCAAACCACAAGTTCATGAGATGTAGAAATCAAATTCCAGTAGGAGAAAATCCAAAATGTAAACAAAAGCATTACCTCCATTTGTTTGAAGTCTGCATTGCCCACTCCAACTATTAGGACTGATAGGGGAAGATTAGATGCTCTCACCAAAGCATCTTTTGTTTCTTGAAGGTCCGTTAGGATTCCATCCTAGAAAAAAAAAACATAGCATTTTATATTATTGCTAAAACAAAGATTTCAACCCAAGAGACAAAAAAATGCAAATAAAATTCATCCACCTCTTACCGTTATAATAAGCAAGACATAGTACTTGTTGTTGGAGGACGAGAGGGATCTGCTGGCAATTTCCGCAGCTTTGTTAACCACTAGGCCAAACAAAGTTGGTCCTGCCAGAGAAACGTTGTGTAGAGCAGTGGCATAAGCACCCATGATGCCTTCAACACCTTCAACCTATTAAATAAATCAAACAAGTTACTAACAAGGCTAAACAAAATAAAAGTTCAGATGTATTGAATGAGTTTGCCAACAAAGGTAAAGAAACATTGCAAAAATTTAACCACTCCTTTACCTCAAAGTCACTTGCACTCCCATTCAAGTTGAAGCAGTGCGACACAGTACCATTAGTTGTCCTACCCCCAAAGCCCCAAGCGGGAAAACGCTTATCATCATCATAGAACTGAATGACTTCCCCTACTTCTCTTATAGCCTGCAGATAGTATAATTGATTTATCAGACCGCATCTAATCATCTAATCAATCGATATGCTTTCTCTAACTATTGAACAGCAAGCCACCCATAGCAAAAGCCCAAGAATGACCTTAATTATATACATTGAGCACAAGTCTGCAGAAAGAATAAGATGGACAAGCTAGAACAACCATCTATTGTTTACTGTTATGAAAAAACTTGAAACTATTTGGATAACTTTTAACCAACGACTTTATCTTGTTGACCTACGGAAGAAGCCTACAAGGGTATTTTAAACAAGGGGTATACAAAATCATGTCTCATTTTATTAACAACATTATATTAGCCTATTAGTGTAACTAGTACCCCTATTTGAGCACTGCATCTAAAATGTACTCACCTGCTGGTAAGAATTCAACCGACCGTAAGGATCAATATAGTGCAAAGAATCAGGACTTCGAGGATCTCCATTTGAACCTGGATAAAATTCAATATTCAAAGCATACAAACATATCAGTGCCATATATATGTAAAGTGAAAACTGAATAACTTTTCTAAATATCAGACATTAGTTACCTGTAAAATCAACAGCGACCATGAAGTTAAGCTCATATCCACTAGAAATATAGTCAAGAAAGCTGAACTGTTCCTTCTCAAACAATTGATCCACAAACAGCTGGCCCTTCAAAACCTATGTTGGCATTTTATAAAGCAAAAGAGGGAATACATTGACATGAAGTACCAAGAAAGGGAATGCAAGATAAATACCTTTTCATGACCCTGACGAGAAGTTGGAAAGACAAAATTCACACCACTCCTTTCTTTGTATAGTTTTTCCAGGTCCGCCACAGACTTTTGAATTTTCCTGAAATAAGACCAATTACGAGGTAAATTCAAAAAACATTCTTCCTTTTTCCGGTCCAAGCACAAAGTAATGATATCATGCAAGAAGTAAGAACTAACAAAATAAAGGCTAGGCACCAATCAATGATTACCCAATAAGAACATGGTCGCCATTGCTGTTGAAATCAAAACACTCAAAGACTAATGGGGTATCCTGCAACAAATTGAGGTTCAGAAAGTTATAGATTTTTTCTACAGTATTTGTCAATTAGCAGACTTATATACTCTAATTTAACAGGTAACCCAGAAATAATTTCATAAGCTTACCTTGCTTCCAAATTGCTGCATACTCAGGCATACTGGCTTCCAAGTTGGATTTAAATTGTTATCCACAACTTCAGTCTTGCAAATTGGAATAGAACCTCCACTCTCAACAATTCGAGATATTCTTAAGAAAGGATCCTGAGGTAAAGAAATGGAAAAGAAATATAAGGATCAGACTAAAACAGAAATCTGTATCCACAAGTAAAAAGAGCTCAAGAAGCTGCTTTGAAAACACATACACTTTTAGAAAAGAGATCTTTGTTTTCCAAGTGGGAACATCGAAATTTTATCTCCACAGCACTCCTAGAAGCAATAGTTTCCTCGGCCCGGACTGTGAGTGTTCCAAACTTTCTCATACCTCCATGCCAATTTTTGTTCATGAGATTTAAGGTTAAACTCCGAGTTTGTTTAGTCACGATCTGCCACCAGAAAAGAGAACAAGTACCACAAAAACACAGCTTTAGGTGAGAGTTTAGCAAATGATGACTAAAAATCTATGAGATATCTGAGTCACTGATTTCAATATATTTCCATTGGCAAACATCTTTGTATACAGTAAGTAAAGGAAAATAGTACAAGCTATATCCATATCTTTCTTTAGTTGCACCAATGGTGAGCAGTGCAATAACTGTAACATTGAAAATTAAACTGGAAAAAAACAAAGGGAGATTCACTATTATACCCAATATAGGGGCCCAAATTATAAAAATACCCTATATGAAATGGACTTTAGAAACACACCCAAAACTCATTTACAACATAACAAAAAGGCTTTTAACTTCTTATAAATTGAAAAATTGCCATCGATTTCTTAAAACAAGCCCAACCCCAAAACCTCATAAACAAACCCAAAAAACTCAATAGGGCATCAAAGTAATTTAATAATCAAAATTAAATTAAATAAAGCCAGCTGTTATTTTTTGAGTTTTTTTTGGGTTTGTTTATAGAAATTAAATGGTGTAGGGTTTATTTATATTTTTTATGCTAAGATTGGGTATATGACTAAATATCTCTAAAACAAAACACATAACCTGAAGTGTTAACTAAACAACTCTATACACACACTGCATTAGCTCAATGAAAGTAACCTAGTTTTATTGAGCTGTACTGATTTCAAGGGAATTACCTCCGAAAGACCACAACTGCCTTCCCCAAGAAATTCTTGATCCCTCAAATTCAGTGTCTGCGAGGTAATACAATGAGAAGGCTAAAATAAGATTTCTAATAGGCTCTTATGCCAATCAAATGCTAAAAATTGAAAGAAGAAGTCATGTCATACCTTTACAGGTACATTGTGATATTTTGTATCAACATCATACACATGGAATCTTAGGGGACAACACAACAAAGAAAAAATGCAAACGTGAGAGAAGTAGCATTGTCAAAACAGATCTTGCGAGATAAAATACAAGACATCTTCAGAAACATAGGTGCTCGGAAAAATATGAGAAACTTACATCAATGGCTGCACCATCTCGAACTGATATGCAATTGAAACTTTCTCAATCCATACAGGGTTCAAACTATTCAGTATTACTTCAGTTCTCCCTAATTCCTCTAGCTTACCATCGCTTTTTTTGGCATAGACAACCACCATGGGATCACTCTGAAATATGATTAAACAAGTTAATAACTATTTCAGGATAAACTATATTAAGATAAGTCCCCATGATGACACAGTAAGTCTTTAGCCTCGATTTTAAACAGTAGTGGTCATATGACATTGCTATAATATCTTCTTCTTCTTTTTTGGGTCAAGCATTGTTACAATATCTTAGTTACTATGGTAAACAGGTATAAAGACATGGCAGAGTAAAAAATGCTGATAACACTTAGCTAATGTTTTAATTACTATGATATTAAAAGTAAGGTGAGATGGATATATATATATATTAACATACCTTTGAAGTGACGTCAAGATCAAGTAAGTTAGATGCGGACATGGTTAACTGCAGCACAAAAGGGAAATACATGATTACATACACTCTAAAGAATGAAACAAAAGGTCTAATAATGGTATAGAAAAATAAAACAAAGAAAACGAAGACAACTAAAACAAGGGAACCATCCAGGCATTTGGAAAAGCCCATGGTGATTATATGGAACACAAACACCATAGTTAACGCATCCAAGAAATGGGAAATAAATAAAGTATCAAACTAGCCATAATCTCTAGGCACTTTCATTTTGGAATTATACCAGACATGACAGTAAATAATATTCATGGATATTATGCCTCATTATTGGGAACAAAAATGCTGCTCTCGACAGTTTTTTTTTTTTTTTGGGTACTTCAATTTAACAGTTATTTAATTAACACGTCCAGCTTGATGGCTCGTGGCATTTCAAGTTTGAAAGTATATATAAACACATTGAGCAGAGCCTGTCATTGAAAACGAAGTGTTTGATGTAACTTTGAGAAAGAAAAAGACGGAGAGAGAAAAGGATAAAGGGTTATGTCCACATCTAAATGATATCTTTAAGTCCAACATCCATTGCAACTCTTGTAACTACGGACCACATTGTCACACATTTAAGTGACAAACATTATTTTGAGATTTTGTCCTATGCATGCTCCCAAGTCAAATTTGCTCTGTAGTGAGAGAGTATATTGTAGGCATTTTTACAATTCAGCCAAAAGGAGGTGTGGCTCAATCAATCAGCATGCAGCCTCACGTAAGTTAACACACCAATCATTTGAGAATGTTTGTTTTCTCGAAGGCAACTGTAGCCAGGCATAGTATTTTTCATGTTGGCCCAGCATTTTAAATGCATTGTCAACAATACAGACTTGTTCATTTTGTTCATATAAAAACCAGCGGCTCTTGGCCTAAGTTGATATTGAAGATGTATTCACAACGTGCCATCTGCCCTGTACTTCACAATGAAATGAATGAAGATTCATCATAAAGAATATATTAGTCAAAGCTCTTGGTCCTTAGACTTTTCCACTTTCTGGAAGGATAAGAAAGCAAGCTTTTGATGAAAATATTATTTCAAAGTTGAAACAGGTTAAATTAAACCAGAGACGCATGGCAAAGCTACCAAGTAAAATATTATTTCAAAGTTGAAAATAACAGGTTAAATTAAACCAGAGACGCATGGCAAAGCTACCAAGTAAAATATTATTTCAACTAAGTTGAAAAGAACAGGTTAAATTAAACCAGAGACGCATGGCAAAGCTACCAAATTTTCTGAAAACAAAAGATTTTCAAAATACAACAAGAACAAAAATGAATTGTCTAAATTGTAGGGTATAAAAATAAGAATCTTTCAAGGTTTATAATATATATATATATATAAACAAATGATAGAATCTAATAGGCACATGGTCATATGTATATATAAAAAAACACATTCACTCAATCTCAATGTAATGACAACAACAAAACTCAACGTAGGTATAAATCTTTTATGAGAACTAAAAAATTGGGACAGAAACAAATGAAAAACAAAGGGCTAACTTTCAGAAAATAGTGCACATTGCAACTTGCAAGAGGGAGGAGGGAGGAGGGAAGAGGGAGGAGGGAGGGAGGGAGTACCTCGAGTTGAGAAAATAGTGGGAAAGCACCATGGGACCTGTAAAAGAACTCAACGGCGTCGTTGTGAACTGTGGGCCCGGCCTGGGCCCCGCCTACGGCCTCCTTCCCTCCTCTCACATCTGAAAAGCAACCTCCCATCTCTGTCTCTTTCTCTGTCTCTATTCTCGACAAGACAAATCTTAAAACCCTCTGATTTCTCTCTCCAAATTCCAAAACCCTAGCTAATATCTCTTTCTCTCTCAGCAGAAATTCTAAATATTTAATCCCTTAATATCTCAGGCAATGCGTGTTATATGATTGTGTTTGCTCTGTAATAGCGAGCGTATGTATATTATATAGCAGTGAAATGGGTGTTCTTTCGCAGAAAATTCTTCCCCTATATATCCGAAAATGGAAATATCCAGCATTTACGTTTTCATTTAAAATACATATTAGTAGTTATTACACCCAAAAATACATATAAAAAGAAGCAAAAAACCAACGGGTTTAACTCAATGTGAAATGGGGGTTTTGATTTGCAGATGAGAGGAGGAAAAAACCAAAGTTGGGTGGTAACTTGGTACACGAAGTAAAAGAAAACAATGTCTTTTTTTTGGTCAGAATGTATTTTGGATCCCTTATATCCCAAATATATTCAACCAAGACTTTGTCGCTGCTTATCTTATGTAAGAGATGCAACTTCAACATGTTAGAATTAGTGGACCGGAGAAAATAAAAAAATGCAAAGAAAAGTAGGCAGAAACTTCAGGTTAATTGTGTTGTGAATACTTGGTATATGCCTACGCGCATGATACAAATTTAAATTACATGAAGCTCGTGTAATGTGTACGGAATGTGGACTAGTCGGAGACCAATCGTGTTTTTGACAGGTGATTATCCGAAACTCGTTAATTTTGCCTAAGAATTAATCATGATAAAGCCAGTCAACATGAAGAATGGATAAGATTTGTGATGAATTTGCAAGGGAAGTTTCAAGTACATTTCGACAACATATGAGTACTACTTCCCCAGAGAAACTTCAATGCACGCGGTGGTCAAGTCAATTACAACCTCTTTGTCTTGGTCTTGAACCAAATTAGCTCAATAATTGAGAATGCGTGAAATATTGGCCCAATATTTGATTTTCTTGCGCTCAACTCAGGTCTATGCCTAAGAATTTTTTATCCACAACCCACTTCTCCTTCTGCGCGCATCAGGCCTATCAAATATGCATTTGTCAAACACAAGCAGAGCTAGTCTCAAAAAAATAAAAGAGCAAGAGCAAGAGCAAGAGAGCTATGAATTATATGCAAAAGCTAAATCCAATGCTACCCTTTTATTATCATTACTCTTTAAACTTGCCAAGGCAAAATAAATAAGTTCCAATATTTATACTGCCAACTTCGGCTGCACCATTTAACAAATTCAACTAACAAGTTAAAAGTATTTGTCCCTTCTTTGGGTCTGAAAGTTCAAATACTTGTCACATGCAGTTTTTTTCCCTATTCTTAAAAAAAAAAACCTAGAAAATAAATGCCCACATACCGGGGGATGCAAGGGCGCCATTTAGCGGTAGGAGTATGACGGACCTGCAAAAGCATAACGAGATGAAACTGGCGCAGGCAATGCATCAGCCTTGGTTGCCTGGTAGTTTTCTGTCCGGTTATAACCAGATGCAGCAGCAGCAGCATGCATCGAATATAGTCTCTCTCCACGATCAGTTTCTCTCCTTAGCACAGGATCAGTCTCAATCAGGTAGTTCTCTCTCCTCCCACCAAAAGCATGTGTTGAGTATAATCTCTCCATACGATCAGTTTCTCTCCTCGGAGGATCAGTTTCAATTAGATGATTCTCTCTCCTCCCAACAACAGAAAAAGATCCCAACGGAACTTCCTCTCTCCTCTGGGGTGCCAAATATGGGTCCAATGATGAAGAACCATAATAGGAGTAGCCGTAATATGGATCCCTTGCATACACATCTACAGCAGTAGCAGATGTTGCAGGTGGCAACTCATGTCTAGCACCGCGAGTATAAGCTGGGTAATCTCTATCATTCAAGTAGAGAGGATCGGAATGAACATTTTCTCGATGTGCAGGGACAGCCTCCCGGTAAATGAGGTTTGGCTGTCTTGCAAGATGCTTTCTTTCATACTCTCTATGGCGAGCTTCCGGAGCTGGAGGAACAATACGAGGAGACACGTTTCTTCTCTCTCCCCGAAGACCATAAGCTCGATATTCCTTTTCAGTAAGGTATAAATCATGAGAAGTTTCCTCTCTCCTTACAGATGCCACATCTCGGTATTTAACACGCTGGTCCCTTTCATGAGCTAACACTGGATAACTCCTAGCATCACCATTGGCATAAGGATCTCTAGCATGTGCATCCCTGTGGGCATGTGGTAGCGATTCCCTTGCTCCTTCATGAACTCCCCGATCCCGAACTTTAGCCTGGACTGGGGAACGGGTGGGTAGAGCGGTTGAATGGACTTGAGCTGGTCGGAAAAGTGCTGTGAGCTTCCTGACCTGAAAGGAAAATATTGGATATTATTACTTCAGCATATGCAAAGAAACAATGATCGCTCACTCCAGGAAAACTTAATAAAAGGCAGGGGGCACATTATCTCACTTGTCGAACTGTAAGTTCTGTTTTGAACTTCTTTTTCTCATTATAGTTTTCTTGTATTGCCTTCTTGAAAACACTCTCAGGTAGAGGAAGACAATCTTTCTCCACGTTGAACCGCACCTGAAATTTTCAAGTCATCAGCATACATGTCTGGTTAACTAAACAAAGTAAACAAGGAGAGAGAGATCTAAGAAAATGTGACCTGAGCAGGGAAGGATCCGCCAAATGCTTTTGGCTCGAGTTTTAGGCCACCTGAAGAGGATGCTTTGTAAACCCCATACAAAAGCTTAAGATCAAAATCAAAGAGAAAAAGCTTCAACCCTGGTTTGATACCCAACACAAGGTCTTTTTTACCCATTGAAACACCCATGATACGGTAATGGAAGCAGTCTGGCTTTGTCTTTCCACTGCACATGAAGATCAAACCACCAAGCTTTTCCCTCTTTTCATCATGTTTTTCGCTGTTCCTTTGACTCTTCACACTCTTGTCTGACCCACGTCGTTTTTCTGTACTCCTCTGTTTTTGTCGGCTCTTTTCGGATTCGTTAATCTTTCCTGGATTCTTTTGAGCCTGATGGCTCTTCTCGGCATGCTCTTCAGTCATGATATTCTCTTGTTTCTCTCTTTTTGAATTCATCTTCTTGGCATCTTCTTCTCTTTTGTTGCTACTCTCGTTGTTACCCCTATTCCGCCCTCGTTTCCTCCCATTAACCTGTGAGCTAGTTGTACCTTTGCTCGTTTTCAAGCTGTTATGAATGGGAGTTTTCTTCGCTATTTTAGCTTTGCCCTTCAATGATCTTGGGGTTTTCTTTCCAGAGTTGGATGCTTCTGCAGGAGAGGCAATTTTCTTTTCAGATACATCAGGTTTATTAGACACTTCTGCAGGAGAAGACATTTTCATTTTAGCTGACTCAGGTCCACTGAACACTTCAGCAGAAGAGGTCTTCAGTTCAGATGAGTCTGGTTTTTTGGATGCTTCTGCTGGAGAGGGGATTTGTTCAGATGACTCCGGTTTGTTGGACGCTTCTGCAGGGGAAGGGATTTGCTCAGATGACTCTGAATTATTCAACACTACTGCAGGACTATTTATCTCCTTCCTGTTATCTGTTTCCATATAGTTATCATCTAGTTCCATAATATATGCTATACAATCAGGATCTCAAAGCCAAATGTATCCTGAAAACAATTTGGTAATGTAGTGATTTATTTTGTTTTCTATTAAAAAGAGAAGGATGCAGGAACAACATAAGCAGGAAAGGAATCAATTGACATGAGAAAGAAAAGGAAAAGAAATGAATGTAAAAGCACCTTCCATACTTCACTCTGTTCTGGCAATACATAAAAACTTAAAACAGCATTGAAATTATTTCTTTTAAAGGCAATACAGTAAATCCATGGAGACATTTTAGCTAAGTGGAAAGGTATCAGTTTCAATCCAAGAATCACTAAAATTTAAATCCCCTTTTTAATATTTTAGTACACAATACAGAAGAGGTTTCTACCTTCATGCCCTTGTCTTCTTTTCAATTAGTTTCAATACTGAAAAAACACTAACCGTAGAAGCACAAATCCTAGAAGTAAAAATGATGGATGGTCCTTTATGTTCCAAGTATGACAGGTAGTTTGTACACATTAGCTTTGCATATAAAGATAAGACCCCTTCCGCTGTATATCCCTAAAGGAAAAAAAACTAAAAACAAAAACAACACTGCAACTGTTTGTACACAATTTTTTCTATATAGTTGAAAGGCATGAAGCTATCAAACTAACAGAGAAATACCTCTGTGTGTACGCACGAGCCTGTGTGCATGTATGCTTATATACACATGAATATATATTGCACTGGGCATGAGGTATACGTGCATGAATCCATATGTGTGTATATGAAGTCATGTATATGGAAAGAACAATAACTTCAACACCTTTAGGTCGATGTTGTCCTATCCCCCATTTTTTTTCAACGAGTACACCTCCAGTGTGAAAACTATAAATTTGTTGTAGTTTCACAAAAAATATGAGAAACACAGATCTGACTCCATGAAACCCTTCCAATCTACAAATTTCCCTTCCCTCTCCTGCACTAAGCCGTCAAAATACAGTTTATTCATTCTACATTGTCCTTTACACTCAAAGGCTCAATCGTTTGAAAATTATGAAGCTTAAGTACACCCCTGTAGATCTATCTCTGCAGATAATTATCCTGCTTTTTCAATATGGATACTTACCAGGGTCTATTTATGATTTCAATACCTACATCTAAGGAGCATTCTTTGTTACAGTTGATCTACTCAAATAAACCACAATGAATGACTAGTAAAAATCACGAAAAAGGCTTGACTATTGACTGTTTTACCATTCTTGTCGACCGGCCAGAAACATGCTACACGTGCAAATTTGTTACATGATAATAATATCACTACTTTATTCTAAGGAACAAATGATTAATTAAAATCATGACAAATATTTGACTATTGAATTTTTTGCCACACTTGCCAGCTTGGCAGAATCATGTCAACTGCTACACATGCACTTTTGGTACATCTGACAGCATCAAGACCAACAAATCTTATTTGCACACTTTCATTTCCTGTTCTCTCCTAGTACCCTTGTTACTTAGATTTATGTTAGTTCCTATGGTAACTCCTCTGGGGCTTAAAATAACCGTTGAAAATCTAAGGGACACCATTATGTCCCATAGAAAATGCCAAAAGAGAAGTGAGCGTGTATTCGTTGGTTATTACCGGTAATTACGTTATCTCCCGCCATAACTACTCTTAGCATAAAATTAAGATTAAAATCACATCCGGTAATTACATAACCAGATATTCTCATACTGTGAGGGCAATGCCAAATCAATCAATCAAGCCCCACATACCCAAATGTGGTGATGAAAGATATGAACAGAAAGAATAAAGCCCAGATGCATATTTTCATCCACAACAATAAAAACAAAGAAAAGAAAAGAAAGGCTCACCAGAAAAGAAAAAAGAAAAAAGAAAAATCTAGATTTCTACTGTTCTCTCAAGTGAAGCCAATCATTTGTTCAAACCCAGTTTCTATCATGCAAGTAATTTGCAAAATAAATAAATAATAAACCTGTTAGACAGACACATCGAGATGAAAAATTGAACTAACTTTAAAACCGACCCAGACTCGAGCAAACAATCAAGCTTAAATTCTGTACAGACAATTCAACAACCCTCTATTTGGCTGCCCAGAAAAGAAAGAGAAGCATAAAATTCAGATCCCAAATCATTCTTAGTCAGCAGAATTATATGATTGAGGTTCAACTTATTAGCCACAAAACTGAAAGAATTAATTCAAGCGGAAAATTTTCATATTCTGAGCTTGCAAACATATCAATGCCAAACAACGCCACTACAAATTTAATATCTTTACGATTCCGTACCTTCCCACAACGACCAAACAGAAGCCACAGAATCTGAAAACAAAAACCATAAATAAAATTCAAATAAGTGAAAAAGCTGTAATGGTTTGCGAGAGAGAGAGAGGGGGAGACTACCTTTGTTGCTTCAAGAGAATCAGAGACTGAGAGACTCCGACGAACGTTACACAGGGGAGAATATCAGGAACAGAAAGAAAGATAATAAAATCAAAGAACGATTTGTTCTTTCTCTGTGTCTGGAATTTTCCAATGACCGAAGTAGCCTCCTTTTATACCCGCTAATTTCCTTGGGCACTTTTTTCTTTTAAGGGCATCGAAAGAAAACAACCATATTTCCCCTCCTTAAACAAAAACAATAATAATCAAAATCTAGGTGGAAAACAGGTTTGTGTTTTCCAAAATCTAGAGTGCTCTTGCAAATAAAATCAAAAAAGTTTGTGCATACGTTGGTCGATGTTACTTATACTGGCATGTACGAGGTGCTTTAAAGACCTAGTTCCGATAATGCTTATGTTGGTCCACGATATGAAGTGCTTGAATGGACTTTGAATTACTCAGTCTTAGTTCATATGGACGTAGTCTTTTGAATCCGAAATTATTATCAGTAGATTTTTATCTGAAATTATTTCGAATCCAAAAATTTTCTTCCAAAAATTTCAACAGAGAGCAGAGAAAGCAGAGAAAGCTCATCTGCCTTTAGCTAACTATCAGAAATTGGCAATGATACGCCTTTATAATCACAAATAAGAGTTCCATACAAAACCTCTCACAGCGTCCAAAGAAAATTAAATTCCAAGGAGAAAGAAAAACCAATTCAGTCAAGATAAACTTTAACATCAATCCCACTATCAATGAGGGATTGAACAACTGCCCTAATCTTCCCTTCAAACTTGTCCCTGTCCCTGGGAGTATAAGCAGCAGTGTAGACATCAGCTTCTCTTGCCCTATCGGCTAAGATTTGGCCGACGGCCAAACAGGCCGGTATATCACAGCGAGACTTGAGGACAGCTTTAATGTCTTTGGAGTTGGTACCGGCAACTGCAACCTGCTTGCAGGTCACCCGGTGGGTGATAGAGGCTGAAACAAACCGCTTTGAGATGAACACATCAAGTGTAAATGGTTCAATGTAGGCTATGGTGCGCTGTTTGAATGATACATGTTTTTGTGGATTTTTGGATATCTTCTCCTTCTGGTAAGTGTATGGCCGGCTATTGTTATCATCAAGGAAATCCTCTACCCCGAAAAAACTTCTCTGTGCACAATTGACCTATAAATTGCACAATTAGATGGCAGTTGGTTTCATCAAAAAGTTTCTAAAGGGAAAATTAGATGGCTAGCAAATCTTCATGGCATCATGCAAGCATAAAACGATGTTCAAACGTGCTTCCTCAACCCAAAACTCTGTGATGTCAAAATTCCAGAACATAAGAAATATGGGAACTGGGAAATTGGGATTTGAAGTTTACCTGTCCACTGTGGAAACCACTGGTGGACACGTACAGGCAAGGCAGAACTCTGTTTCCTCCATACACATGAACCCCTTTGTTCCACACCTTCCCAAAGACATGCTTCAACATTCTTATTTTCCTTTTTACTCGCACACAAGACACCTTGATGTAGAATGATCCTACTTCTGTTTAATAAGCTGAAAACAATACACAACCACAAAGAAAGAAACTTAGAACTCTGGATTCAGCAATGGCATGCCTTACTGTACAAATTTACCAACATGCAGAGATACAGTCCCTTCACTGAGGCATTACATCGAAAAGGTGTTAGGCAATGCATTAAAAGGAAGAACCCATTTATAGGAAACACGTAAGGACCATTATTGTGAGTACCTTCAAAGTTACACAGACTCCAATCGAAATGAGCATTTTATCGAACAAGTAAGGTGCACAGTGCACTATGCAAATGGCCAAATTTTAAACAAAACTATGCGAGGGAGAGAGAGACCTGGAGTGCGAGGGAGAGGAGCTCTCTTCAGCGTGTGGAGAGAAACGGCGTCGTACTGATAGGTCTTCAGCTAGGGAGTAATAATTTGTGGTGATAGCGACCACAAAGAAAAGAAGAAAAGAGAGAGGCACTGAACACAGAGCTCAGAACTGCCGCTAGTCGGCACACAACTGCTGGTTCCTTTGCCCATGTAGGGACTGGTAAGCCAGCGAGGACTCCAATATATGGTTCGTTTTCCTATAAATAAAGTTTACGAAGATTAGATAAACAAGTTGGGCATTTGGTCTAGTGGTATGATTCTCGCTTTGGGTGCGAGAGGTCCCGAGTTCGATTCTCGGAATGCCCCTCTGTAAAATGATCACCAATTTTTTCAATTAATGTAACATGCATATCAGAAAACCAATATTTGCAACCTCTTCTTTTTTTTGCCAGAAGTATTTGCAACCTCTTCTCAGCATTTTATTTGCACCAAGAAAAAGAAGAGAGAAAAAACTAATGCCCCTGACTCCGCATACAAACTGAATCTATATAACAGAAAGAAAAAGCAAATTGACATTAATTTCTAGTTCATTCCATTTTTCTCGTGCAGCATTGTAGCAAAAGTTCTCAGTTACATCAATGGTACACAAAGGATGCTACAATCTACTACATTTCTAATTTAAAATGGTCGTAATACCAGGAATTGATAACGGATCAAGCTCCCAATAGCCTGCAAGTCGACTGTCACTCTCCATGGTATGCTGAAAAGCTGGAATTTGGTGAGAGAATCTACCAATCTCCGCCCGTGGTATGTCAATCACACCAGTTTTCAATCTGTGGATTCTCGGAGCCCTATATACTGATTTATATCCATTAAGCTTTGCCAGAACCACAACCTTTGTGCTCTGGTCATTATCTTCCAGGACTTCTACTATCTCACATTCACCCTTCCCCAGGTTAGGATAGGCCAACTCAGGGTTGTGGTTCTTGTATAGTGCCCAAACTTCACCTTTCCTAGGGTTTATTTCAAAATTCTTCTTACCAACAGGTTTGGCTTTCAAACAATGAGAAAATGAGGTGCGCAGGAAGACCTTGGTTTGACCACGTTTGACTTTAAATGTCCCACAACAAACTGGTTCACTCACGCCTTCCGGTTCCAAGCAAGGTTCAAGCAGTGCCACATGCAATTGAAAATTTGGCTTAGACTCAATCCTCTTAATTTGAGCGTAAGTCTTAGGCATCCCACTCCTCTCACTATACAATGCCCATATTTGACCAAGCTGAAATTTCTCCTCAGATTTTTGCCCATCGAAGTCATAGAACTGAGTCTGCGATAATCTACAGGCAGGAGATGAAGATGGAGGGGTAACAGGGCTTTTCATGGAACTGACAGAAGGAAGATCCTTCACACTTGAATGCATTCTGTCATCTGACTGACTAGAAGTAGAGTTTATTTTGGACGGAGTGAAGTTGGGATGGCTTTCATCGTTGGTGGAATCTGGGGGCTTCATAGTTACATTTGCTCTGGTACTGTTCTTACTTAAATCCCTTGGTGATCTTCTAAGCCTGAAAGTCTCTCTATCAGAATCATTTTTCAGATGTTTCTTTGGTGTTTTGATAATTTCATCAGCCTGACATGCAGAAGCACTTCCTGTGGGTTGAGTAAGGTCACATCGAGTCGCTTCTAGTTTAACAGAACTAGCAGACTGGCTATTTGCCTTTCTTGGAGATCTATGCATTGAAGTCTCTCTTTCAGAATTCTCCTGTTTCTCAGCTGCGCATACTCTCCCAGAACCCATTACAGGTTTGCCTTCACTTTCTAGGAACTCACGGGGCAAACCATTAGGTTCAGTATTCATGGCTCTGTTATCCTTTTTTAAATCAATGAAATCATCAAGATTGGTGGGCAAAGAAGCAGGGTCAAACTCAAAGGATTCTTTCGGAACACCATCTCTTTCATCACCAGTCATCTTGAATGACGGAATTCGATGAGAAAATCTATATAGCTCATTACGTGGTACTTGAAACAAGATAACCCCATGCTGCTCACTTCGCTGAAACAGACTGACAAATCCTTTTACTTTGCCTAGATAAGCAACTCCAACACCATTATTTTCATCAAAATCTGACACGACTTCCACAAATTCAAATTTGTATGGTACATGCTTTTCAGGCTCAGAACTCCATCCAATATCCCAATCCTGGTACAGGGCCCAGGTTTCTCCCTTCCTAGGATATACCAAAAAAGAGCTTCTGCCACTGCCTTTTATGCAGTGCATCTGATGAGAAAACATAAGATGATCTGTAACTTCTTGAGTGTCACCAAGGGTGTACTTACCACAAGCAACTGGCAACTCCTTGTTACACCAAGCAATCTCACCTTGGTCATCTGGATTGGACTCCAGCCAGGTGAATCTCACCTTAAATCCAGGTGTGAATACCTTTTTGACACGAGCATAGAATCTTGGCATGCCATCTACTGGATCATATAGAGCCCATGTCTGATTAGCACTAAAAACATTTTCCAACATATCCTCGCCAAGCCCAAATTTATTAAATTCAGGATCAGGAACCTCAACGCTCGCTGGCATGGATGCGACATTTGAACTTGGTCCAGGACCAACATCAGCATTCGACTTACCATCATCATTATCTGGCATAGCTGCTTCCTTGACATTTTTCTCAAATTCACCAGGTTTGCTTCTTTTGCTGGGCGAACATTCTTCTAAAGGGGCAGTCATGTTTTCTTCTGCCCCATTCTTATGTCCACCCACAGAAGCAGTTGTAGCAGAATCAGTTGAGCCATCAGTCTTAGATACCCCACTGGACAATTGGCTGTCCCTCCACCTCTTGGGAGGACTCACAAAATCATCATCATCATTTAGATTTTCATTATAAGAAAGATTCTGCTTTTTCCTTGAAGATCTCCTACTGTGATTGGCTCCATTGGGTTCAGATAGCTTACTGACCTTCTCTTGAATAATAACATGTTCAGAATCAGATGTAGCTCTGTTTCCAGTCTTGCAGCTTTCATTGGATTCAAAAATAGAATTCCTTCCCCTTTTTTTGTTCTTATTTCTTGAAATTTCTGAATCCTTGGACTTCACTGGACCAGACTTGGACATTCCAGCCCCATGGCCAATATCTTTCTTTTCACTGTTAGAATCCATACTGACATCAGCAGAAAATCCCGTCTTTGACAATGGATTTGAGGATGCATTTCCATTTTGATATTTTGTGGAGGATGGGTTTCCAGTTCCACCATTACTTTGTGAGGCTACATTAGAAGTACCCTGACTTGGAGGCTCTTTTTGATTCGGAAATTGATTCCTGACAGATTCTGGATGCACCTGAAATTGAATACCCAAATCATGAGCAACAAAGGCTCTTCGGCATTTTTGACAGCGTAACAATCGGTTTGCAAAGTCTTGGTGGTATTGGTATTTTATCTTACAAAAAGGACAACATGTCCAGAATGTTTCTGGTTGCGCCTGTTGATGTTGATTCGTGCTAGTGTACTGTGACTGAGGACTATTCTGAATATTGCTTGCAGTATTGTTATGTTTCCTGACAAATAAGTTTCCATTTGACGGATGAGCTGATGGTTTTGATGCACCAGCTTTTGCTAGAGCTCTACACTTCATGTCATACATAGAGCGTTTCGCTTGGTCCGCCAGCACCCTGTTTGCTTCCCCGATCAGCTTAAAAGCAGCCTCCGCACCAGAAAACTTATTTTTATCAGGATGAAGGAACAGCGCAAGCTTCCTGTATTGTTTTTTGATGGTTGCATCATTATCAAATTTTTGAATCTGAAGAATTCCATACCAGTCCATTTCAGATCCACCTATTTTGTTTTCTGATGAACAGTGAACTTCACAGACTGTGAGTAACTTCTCAATGTTCTCAAGCTCAGGGAAGAGTCGTTGTGCCTTTTGTGCCATCTTCCTTGCTCCTGTAAAATCATTGCTTTGTATCTTTATCTCAGAAAGTTGCATTGCCCGGACTGCCTCCTCTTTGTTGCACTCCATGGATGATTTGGAATAAAAATTCGCCTAAGTTCTTTTACATGCAGGATATAAACCGAGACAAGAAAAAAAGGGAAATCTACCCCTGCCTGCCCACAGTCCAGTCATCCAAAATCTTCACTCCGCGCCTATACAAACCAAGCAACTTAAGTCAAACATGCCCACCAGCTATGTATTTATCTTATTAACATGAAACAACAAATTGACATACCATTCAGTAAGTGATATCAAAATGAGATGTCCTGTAAAAGTATGAAAGACAACAATCTGGCCTTTCCTGACCAAAAGGTTCAGAACTACCACCCAAACCAGAGATTCCAAACCTGCAGACAAAATATCTATTGAAAGAATCAGAACCAATCAACATTGTAACCGTACATATGTATAAATGACCAAAGTAATTCCAGATGTGAACATGAAATCAATCAGGCCCACCCTTTCCGGCAAGTATCTTAATCAAAACCATAAACTCATTATTTACTTAATCCTACAGTGATCTACTAAGTGCTACCCAATTCCATGCATTGATGTATGTCTTTCCTTCCTTGAACCATCTATCATTTTTCAAAATTCAGATAAGCTTATACTGCAGCCTGCTTTAAAATAAAAAACCAAACCAAAAGGACTTGACCACTGAATTTTCTTCTTCTTTCCTCCATCTTTCTTTTCAGCTACCAAACATACTCTTAGAAACAACCACATCCTTACAAATGCATAATAAAAACAACACAAATCCAAACATATATAAGTAAACATAAAATGTGAAGAACCACAAGTACTATCGCCTTAAAAAATACAGATCAAGTCAATGTCTTACCCCAAGTCCAGAGCTTGAGAACCAAACAGCCAAAATTAAGCTCAGAAATGACGAAAACGAACAAGCAGGGCGCTCGAGTAAATTTCTAGGGAACGAAGATCGAATATGTAATTACGCAAAGGTTTCAAAAACCCTAGAAATCTTGCTGACGAGAAAAAGCTCAGCGAGTGAGTGAGAGGTAGATATAACAACAGAAGAAGAAGAAGGCGAACTCAATCGTGATATTTGTATTGTTAGGGTTTCCGTTTTGAGAGAGAAATGGAAAAAGATGGGGGGAAGAGAGAGCGGGAAGCGAGAGTGAGCAAAAATATTTGGAGGCAGAGGGGAGAGAGAGAGGGGTGAGAAGGAGGAGAGTTGAGAGTTCCTGAGTTTCTATGAAATTCCAAATTTGGGTTTATTTCTCTTGAAATTTTATTCGCGGGCCGCTGAAGCCAATAATGCATCAATGCCCCCTTATGCTTCATTTTAAATTTTCAGAGGAAATGTCTAGAACTATGGTCAGGATCTCCAATAAGGACCGTTGGCTTAGATGACTTTGCCGGCATCTTCATTTTCCCCCTATATCACGCACGTGAGGTGCATATGCATTATAAAAGTTTTTTTTCTTAATTTTTTTTTAGGGAGTTTCACTAAAACACCCAAAATGGGGCTGAAATTATAAAAAAACCCAACACCCAAAACACTTTATAAACACACCCAAAACCCATCATTACACACACTCAAACCCCATTTATAAACACACCCAAAAAATATACAATTATTGATTTTGTGGTTGATTTTGGATGTGTTTCTATGTTTAAATAGTGTGTGGGTTTTTTTATAAATACATGTCTAGGATTGAGTTTATTTATAATAATATATTTTTTTTATAGAAAACACGCAGGCCCAACTAAATCAAAATAAAACAGAACAAAACAATTCGGAGGAAGCCCCTGCTCCTAGAGGTGGGAAGGGTTCAACTTATGGCCTAAATTAGCTAAAGCATCAACAGTAAAGTTTGCTTCCCGAAAGACATGGTGGAAATAAATTTCTTCACAATAGGAGCTGAGCAGCCTTATGTCTTGAATCAAGAGACGAATGCTCCAAGGGACCAATACTTTGTTATTGATACAGTCAATGACGAGCTTGGAATCACCTTCAATTAAAACTTTACTCCAGCCATTGTTGATAGCATGGGCCAAGCCATCCCGCAGAGCCAAACATTCAGCCACATTGATTGAGACATGCCCCAAGTTCTTAGCTCCCGCAAGCATAACATGAGCATTCCAGTCCCGGATAACAAAACTAGCAGCAGCCATGTTGTCGCGCACCGAGCCATCAAAATTCACTTTTATCCAGTCATGGGGAGGTTTTTTCCATTTGATAGTAGGCTCACCCCTGTGCTTCTGGAGGGGGATGAAATTAATTCTCTAATAATCTAGACCAACATGATCAGCAACATTGAGGGCTTTCACCGGGTAAGGGTCAATGCCTTTAAAAACACAGTTGTTCCGAGCCTCCCAGACTTGCCAGCAAAGAAGGAGAGCTTTTAAAAGACTATTCAGGCCATCCATCTCCTTTAAAAGAGGGAGTGTATCCAGCCACTTGATACCATCAAAATTCTGATGAGAGGTTGTGGGGATCATAGAGGTACACCTCCAAATATTAGCAGCAAACTGACATTCTAAAAATAGATGGTTAAAGAGGAAAATATATTAACTGCATATAGATATAATCACGACTAGGCAGGGAAATTGTAACTCAAATAGTTAAAAATAGTTAACTCTGCACATGATATCATGTGTTCAAATTCTTCTTCCTCTAAAAATCATATATTCCTATCTGCAGTAAATCATATTGAAACCAAAATAACTTCCTTTGGCATATATAGATTCATCCACTACTTTTGAAGGTTGGCTATAAAAATTAAAAATAAAAACAACTCTTCATGTTCAATGACCCTATCCATGCCAACTACTAACAGCCAAGGGCAAAATTCATTTATATGCTTCTCTGATGCATCATCAGCCTAACATGGACTAACACTTTCCCTTACTTCAGTAAGGTTGCCTTTGCTTATTCTTCTGGTAGCACTTCCTCTAAGTTGATGAGGGGTTGCCCTGGCTTCACCTTATAGCAACTCACCAAAAAAACACAAAAAGAAAAACATCAGTTTCAGCATTCATAGGGCAAAGCAGCAGTATCAAACTCAAAGGACCCTTTGGGGACACCATTTCTTTCATCACCAGTCAGCTTGACAGAGGGAATTTGATTAGAAAATCTATATAGCTTGTTAGGTGGCACTCCAAACGACACAACCCCGTGCATCTCGGTTTGCTTAAACAGACTGACAAATCCTTTTGTTTTGCCTAAGTAAGCAACTTCAATGCCCACATTTTGTTTAAAATCTTGCAAGACTTCCACAAATTCAAATTTGTTAGGTACATGCTTTTCAGGCTCACAACTCCATCCAATATCCCATTTGTGGTAGAGGGCCCAGGTTTCTCCCTTCCTAGGATGTACCAGAAAAGAGTTTCTGCCCCGGCCTCTTCTGAAGTGCATCTGATGAGAAAACATAAGATGATTTGTAACTTCTTCACTATGACCAAGTGTGTACTTACCACAAGCAACTAGCAACTCCTTGTTGTACCAAGCAATCTCACCTTGGTCATTTGGATTTGGCTCCAGCCAGGTGATCTTCAGCTTAAATCCAGAGGTGTACACTTTCTTGACAAGAGCATAAAATCTTGGCATGCCATCTTCTGGAGCATAAAGAGCTCATGTCTAATTAGCTCTAAAAATGTTTTTCAGCAATCCTCGTCAAGCCCAAACTTGTTGAATTTAGGATCAGGAATGTTTGAATTTGGTCCAGAATCTGCATCAGCTCTAGACTTAGTTTCATTGTTGCATGTCATTACTGCTTTCTTTACCTCAAACTCAAACTCACCAATTTTGCAATTTTTGCCGCAAAACCTTTCTTCTCAAGAGGCACTCGCTTTTTGTTTCAGTTCTTTCTTGTATCAATCCACAGCAGATGCAGCAGCAGAATCAGTTGCCCTATCCCATTTAAATACCTCATCAGTCACAGCAGCATTCTACTTCTCCTTTTTAGTAGCACTGGACATATGATTGTCCCTCAACCTTTTAGGAGGACACACAGAACACCTTCATGATATAGATTTTCATTGTAACAAATACTCTGCATTTTCCTTGAAGACCTCTTAAGGCGATAGCCTCAATTGAGTTCAATATGTCCAGAATCAGCTCTAGCTTTATTTCCAGTTTTGCAACTTTCTCCAGATTCTATACTAGACTTGGACATTTGAAGACCAACCTTCCCTACTCCAACCTCATGTTGAATATCATTCTTTTCAGGGTTATACTTAGACCCCCAGCTGCCATCAGTAGCAGTTCTCGCCTTTGACATCGGACTCAAGGCTGCATTTCCATGAAATCTTGTGACAGACGGGTTTTCAGTTCCATCATTACTTTGTGAGGCTACTTCTGATCTACCCACTTGGAGAGTCTTTATGATCCGTAAATTTGTACCCAGAAGATTCGGGTTGTACACCTTCAATACTCAAGTCATGAGCAACAAAGGTACTTTGGCATTTGTGACAAAGTAACAATTGATTTTCATAGACTTTGTAGATTGAGCATGATACCATACAAGAAGGGCAACATGACGTGAATGTGTGTGGTTCTTGTAAATCGTGTATCCTTCTCATATAGTGTATAGCTGGGCCTGGATTAAGGTCAAGGCCTATACCAAATCTCCGGGTTTGGATGCTTTCCGGAGGGGACCTGCACACTTCAAACAACTATCAAAATAGGAGTGAATTGGGGTTTGTCCCAGTTGAACTCCCTCCGATGGTTAAGTCAGAAGTAGTTGATGGGTGGAGAAAATGGATGTAGGGTTTACAAGGTGAGAATATTTATTACCTCTGTACTGATGTAGGTGAATGGTATTTATAGGGGGAGAAGAAGAGACAAAGATATTTAAGGAGGATATATTTATCTCCCTTCTCCCTGGTGGGACTGGATCACATTAAATGACCTGCTCTGATCACCATGCTATCTCCATGCTATCTGACAGGGATCATGTGGCAAGGCAACATGTGGCTTTGGATGAGAGGCATATTAAATGATCCTTCTCCATCACCAAGTTGCACTCTAGGGATCAAAGGGTGAGGTGACACCTGGCCTTGGATGGGAAGTACATTAACTGATCTCTTTCCATCGATCTCTTTCCATCGCCAGACTGTTTATTAGGCGGATAGAGTGACTGACTTGACAGGAGTCTGATCAGGCATGTATATCATCAATGCGCCTCTGGTCACACACGGCACCACAATGGTCGGGTCGGTGTTTGAATGCCCAAGCATTGTTTCACATCCTATCATGTTTCAATTGGGAGGCCCTTTATCGACATCCGGGGGACCGTATCTGATCAGGTCGGTATAAAGGTAACCCAGCCCACCTATGGGCACGTGGTGTTCTCTAATAGGCTCGGCTCACAGTGATGCCCTTTAACAGTTCTTTTTCATCTTTATTAAAGTTAGTGTTAGAACGACCCTGCATTTTGCTTGAAGACGTCCAGGGGTGATGGCCTCCATTCAGTTGAGAAAGACCAACTTTCAAACATTAAATAGAGAACTTCACACTTTGCAAGTAATCGAGGAATTTTCTTAAGAGCTTTACTCCTTTCAATCAATTAAGGAATCTTCTCAAGATAAGGAAAGAGCCCATTAGCCTTTTGCCATCTTCAGTGCACTTGAAAAATCACCACACTTTTTCTTTCGTTTCGAAAGTTGCATTGCTCTGAGTGCCTCCTCTATGTTGCATTCCATCGGTGATTTAGACTTAAAAATCACCTAAATTCTCTCATATACATGATGCACACTAAGATAAAAGAGAAATAAAATAAGGAAATCCTGAAATCTTCACCCTCCTGCACAAATGCAAACCACACAAGTTAAGTCACATAAGCCCAGCAGCTGTGTACATGCCTAACTATCATCAAACAACAATTTCAAATACCATTCAGCAAAGTATCAAAATCATCTGAAGGAAAGATGTCTTGTAAAAACAATGGGAAACAACAATCTGGGTCTTCCCAGCCAAAAGGCTCAGGACATTGCCATTGGCATGAAAGTACTGCCCGAAACCCGAGCGATCAATCTCTTGTAGCCCAGAATTCAAATCCATGTCTAAAGAATGAGAAACAATGAACATAGGCTATATGTATATGCATATTGCATATGTATTATGCACTTTTACATATACAAAACAATGTATATATGAAATCAAAATAATGCTATACCACAATAATGCCAAAGACCAAATTACTTCCCAATGTTAATATGAAATCAAAAAGACCCTCCTCTCTTTTCCTCAAATTTCTTAATCCAACCATAAACTCATTATTTACTTTATCACATGGTCCACTAAATACTCCCCAAGTCCTTGGAGTGAAGTAAATTACCAAGAAACCATACAGAAATTCCGAAACACTAGATGGATTGCTGACAAAAGAGAGTGAAAGAGAAGAAGAAGAATAACTTACTTGTTGGGAGTTGTGATGACGTTTGCAACTTTACATCCAGAAGCATTGAAGAGTGGGAGTGAGTGAGTACACTAATATGGAAGGGCACCGTATGCCATGCCTTGATTCGGGCCATTTGCCCCAAAACCCCAATCCAGCGCTTATTGTTCTTTCCATTTTCCCTACTAAATCAAATTCACTGTCAAAAATAATGAGAGAAAAATTTTCGACCAAAAAAAAAAAATTAATGAGAGAGAAATTAAAATAACTTACATATATGTCTCTCTCTTCAAGTGATATCCGTGACATGTCACAAAGGGGAAATAACTTACCTATCTCGGTTCACCGTGTCTCACTCTATGTCTCAAATCCCTTTATGTCTCATTTCCCGGTTCACTGTGTCTTGCTCTATGTCTCATGTTCCGGTTCACTGCTTCACTATATATGTCTCTCCCTATCTCTCATATATTGAACTGCTTCTCCATCTATCCTTCTCCTCATGTGAGATCTCTATGTATCTTCTCACGTGACTTACGTGTGGAAGGTCATTAGAGGAAAGAGATATATGTGGAAAGTAACGATAAAATCGAAAGACGGGCTTTTTTTCTTCTTCTCCCAAGTGAGGGTAGGATGTCTGATCATCATGCGCTTTGTGTCTTGTGATGTGTCTCCTCTCTATTTTACACTTGGGATGAGTAAGTTTATCCCGTAAGGCAGGCCCTCTTGAGAAATGGCGGGTCATATCATCATATTCATATCTATGCTCAATGTCATGGCCCATGGGAGGTCCCTTACACAAACGGTAGGGTAGGCTAATAAGTTGACTTGTGTGTTTTCGTTACTCGCGTCTTTCCAAGGCAAAACCATCCCATCTATTATTTTCCAGCGGCTTTTCCTTGTTCCCTTTACCACTCACTTGGCCACACACAAAGAGAGAAATGAGCAAATTATACAACTTAGAGATCCTTGCAGGCCTCTGCTATGCTGGAAACAACCCTTCAACAACACGTTATTCGTGATGACGCCATTTCCGTTTAACACATCACAGACAGACAGCCACCTCCACCTGTACCTGAAACCAGAGCGTGCTCGGGAACTACTGAAAAAGGAGAACACGGAAGAAGAAAAGCAGAACAAGGTTTGATCACAAAACGCGGAAAGCGCTCTCGGCAAAAGGCCCAAGACGATCTTGAGGCCAATACGGGAATTGTGTAAAATATCAAGGGTAGTTTTGTCTGTTAAAGATTTATTTGTGCTCCAAACTTCAAAGAAGTGTTCAAAACTTTGCGCCAAAAACAAACCGGGGTTAGACCAAAACGACACCGTGTTTCCTCTTCATAACAATGACGAATGAACTGGTAAAAAGATTGAATCTTGAGAATTATACAAGTGGATTAGATTACAAGTGAATAAATTGGTAAGGTTGATTCAGATTCCATTTTCCAAATCCCAAGCAATATTACATGCAAAAATCCTTTCATGATCCTGTCTACAGCCTAATATTTACGGCTTAGAGTAAATTCGAAAAAATTCGAAATTCATGTTCACATAACATTCCATATGGGATATGGGATGAAATGGAAATTTATTGGTACAACAACATAAGTGGATAGCTACTTGCACAAAAACAT